TGAGCATACAGTGCTTATTAATATACGTTGGGCAAGGGCAAAACCGTTATATATAATTAAAATCTCCCCAACGCAAAAATACATCTTAAAAATAATCATCCAGTATCAAATTTTAATGCATATTCATGACACTCTTGCCCTTGGATTGGGACGGAAGAAAAGAAGAAAACATCAAGATATCCACCTATGTTTAACGTTCTTTTCTGACGTTCAAAGGTCGAATGATGTAAAAAAAAAAAATAGTTAAGTCTAGCTGTTGTTGACTTTTCTTAACTGTTCTTTCTAAGTGAGTTTACGGGACGCATAGTAGACAGCGAAAGGAAATCTTTCATCTTTTGATGAATCCAAAAACCACGAAAGGAAATTCTAGTTTTTTTTAATCCAAGTGATTTCTTTCAGAAAGTGCCAAAGAAAAACACTGACCGGTTGAAAGGAAGCCGAACGGCCCTAGACGGTAGTTGATCGCAACATAGATGACATCACCTACGGCTGAGATGGGTTGGCCTAAGTATTCCGGCATTGACCCGTAGCCAAAGAAAAAGGCACCGCCGTGAATAAAGACCATGACCGCGGCAGTCTTGGACTGCACGTATTTGTAGGAAAAGGAAAGAGCACTAACATTAGATTAAGAATAACGGCTGTAAGCTCTACACAAATTCAGAATCGCACAGGCACAGAAACATTTCTCAACTTTAGGGAAATGATCAGCAAATGAAACAGGAAATTGTAACACATTGATGACACTGCCTATCGCTACAGTGTAGAGTATTCTTTACGTTTTTCCACACTGAAACACAAAGCCACTTGAGTCTTATGTAATTTTTCATCACTTCGACAATTCCAGACAAAATCTTGTACCTTGTAGTCGTAACCTTCGAACGGTCTACCAGGGACTATACTGGAAGTTGACGAGAGTGACGCAGCAACTGATTTTGGGGTTTGAATCTTGTGTTGGAAAGAGGGTTTAAAAACTGTAGGGGTGGTTTTATCCGCTGGATCATGAGTTAACTTATACCAGAGTCTGAAGGCTTTGGGGAAAAATGGCTGAGTGTGGGGGTTAGATGTGTGATAATGGATTTTAATGAAACTGTTTGTGACTTCTTAGGAACCTGGTCAGCTTAAGTTTGATGTACAAGTTAGCGTCAATGTCAATCTCCTGGTTAAGTATCTTGTGAAAGGTTACGAGTCTCTGTATTTGGCGTCTAGTCTCGAGCATCTTGGATTCATTGGATGTAGGTTAAAAATGATCGGACATGAACCTGGCAACTCGTTTTTGCACCTAATGAAGTTTTTCTTGGTGCCTGGGTTCCATGCAGCAGAGGCGTATTCAAGATGTGGTTGGACAATAAAAGTCTGTTATGTTTTCCTTAACTGTTTTGGAACATTGGCTGAAATTTCTTTGGACGAAGTTATGCATTTTGGTGGCTTTGGTTGAGGTCTGCTTGTTCCATTTCAAATCATTTTGCATTATTACACCGAGGTACTTGTCATGAGTAATTTCCTCCAGGGTTCTCGAAGCATTTTGCTGTTGGCTGTGCCTGGTTGAAAACTTGACGCTTCCTTGAAATTCTCATTACCTTACACTTTGAGGCCTTGAATTTCATACCCCTCTGATTAGACCATTTACCACACTATCAAGATCAGATTGTAGGGATCTTTCATCTACCAGCAAACTTATGGTCTTATGTAAGATGCAGTCATCTGCAAATAGTCTTGTAGATGATTCAACAGTTTGTGCGATGTCATTAATGAAGAGAATACAACGATTCGGACCTAGCAGCGTGCCGTGAGGTACACCACTCAGCACAGGTTTCTATGGCGAAGCTTTACCATTTACCATGGCTCTTTGCACACGATTTGGCGCTAGTGTGGTACGACATCAAATGCTTACTGAAATCTGGTATTGCGATATCTGTAGTCAGGTGATTGTCATGGTTTGTAGTCAAGTCGTGCAGGGTGGTGATGAGCTAGGTGACACATGACTGGGATCTTCTAAAGGCATGCTGAGCATCTGAGAACATACTATGGGCTGAAACGAACTTCATAATCTGGCTGTCGGTGATGTGCTCCATCAATTTACAACAGATGCCGGTTAAACTAATCGGCTGGTAATTTACTGGATCCGATTTGGACCCTTTCTTAAAGATGCGCGAGACATTAGCTCTTCTGCAGTCATCTGGAGGAACAATCTGATCAAAACTCCGCCGAAAGAAGAACTGTGACGCAGGTGCCAGCTCTGCTGAAGCAATCTTCAAAGCTGCATTGGTAGTTCATCTGTTCCAATAGCTTGGTTAACTTGGATAGAAGAGAGCAGTTTATCTGCTCCATTAGTAGTGATTTCTATGTCAGGTAAAGGGCTGGGTGAAAGCGTAGGTAAAATTAGGAAAGCACTTTGGAATTGATCGGCCAATTTCTCAGCTTTTGAACAATGGTTCGGTCCCCTGTCTTTAAAGTCTGGATACCAACGTTGTCTTTCCTCCCGGATCTGATGTAGCTCCAGAACTTCTTCGAATCATCGGGAGATGAGAAGTCGGATACATAATCTCTATGCGCCATATGGAGCTCTTTATCAACGTCACTTCAAATTTTCTTAAACTCATCCCATTGTTGTTTGCAGTTAGTTTTAACAGCTGTCGGATAATAATGGTCTTTTCTTCAGCAAAGTTTCAGTACCTCTGTGTGAACCATGGAGGACTTTGTTTGCCTTTAATTTGTTTACTAGGAACATGTTTCTGAACAAGATTTGTGACGGCACTTTCAAAGGTACTCCAGTTTTCATATTTACAGTCTTCTCGCCCGGGCTGCTTCCTAGAATCTCACCAGTAAACTTATGGGCAACTTCTTAGAATTTTTGCTCATCAAACTTGTTCCAAAGAAGCACAGTTCTCGGTGGGTTCATAGGCACTGAAGTCCGAGTTTGCATTTCAGTCATGACAATACTATGATCAGAAAAGGGGGTCAGTAGGTAAATAGTTTCCAAACTAGGCTTGGAATACTGAATCCCCTCTATGATTTAGGGTGATTAAGACTCTTGCTTGATCTTACTGAAACTATCATCCAACAAGTCGAGGTCTTCTTTCTCAGAACTAGGCGATATAATCACTTCCAATAAAGACATTTTCAGATCCCAATTGGAGTTGGCACCATATCTGTTCAGAAAATGAACCCCATCAGTCAAAAACTGAAAACTTACTACGGTGTGAGGGCGATAGACGTCGAGGAACAAGCAGTCCTCGTCCATGCCACTAAACGAGATGAAGTATTGGATGCAGGCAGGGCCGTGACGGGCTGCGTTGAGAGTACCACTCCAGGAGTTGACGGGTACCGGGGGCTGGAAACGTCGGTGCCCCACAGGTGGCTCGGCATACGGAATGCCCTGACAGGAACAAGATGGTTTTGAGAAGCACCAAACAGAAAACAACTGTATATTTTGATTTCCTACAGACAAGTTAAGATAAAGCCTTTAGAAATAAACAGAGCTTTCCTACGCTAATTTTTGAAAAAGTAATCTGTGTTTTACAGAGGGCGCTTACAAATGTTAAGTACCTTGTGTGTATGGCAGTAAAAATGACAAAAAGATGTTGAACTCAGTTGCAGGAAATACTTGTTATTTAAAAAAACAATATACACAGATCTATACAAAAGGTTCTGACAACAACTAAAAGCCCTTTAATAAAGAAGAAATATTACAGCTTTAATGGATTTCTGCTTAACACTTACCCTGTAGATGTCAATCTCCTTGTCCACCTTCAGATATTTATCTTCCTTGAAAGTTTCCGTAACTCCTTCGATTCTACCATTCCGGGTCTGGATGAGTGGCCCGGCCATCGCAGCGCCGGCCAGGGCCAGCAGGCAAGTAAACACGCACAAATTCATCTTCGTCCGAGGTTCGGTGCGACGGATAAAAAACTGCACTTACACAACCTTTACTTTGTGGCGAGTACACCCCTCAAATTTACCCATTATTAAAACAAGATTTTGCAATTTGTTATAACGTTTATGATGTCGGTTATCAGTAGTCAGATGACCCCCGAAACCCTACTTCTTCTCTCTCGCTATCAGAAAAAAAAGAAGTGCTTCAACTGCCAATCATAGGATGATTGTGGGACCTGTCTCTCATTTCATTTCAGACCTGTCAGTGTTATGGTAATCTTGATCTTGGTAATCTTGGTAATGGTAATCTTGTGCAATGAGCACAAATCAGAAACTATTTCACAGGCCATTTATAATGAAAAAGGTTTTGCATAAGAAAGATACATATGAAAATGTAATAACCCAGTTTTGCCCCCACCTCTTCACTGCAATTTCTACTCTAAACACTTAACATTAAATTTATTTTCCAAGAAATTCCATTTTTATACACTTTTGAGTTTGCATGGCCCGTTGTGGGGCTGATTTGAAGGCAAATCGAGGGAGGTTCTGTTCATCATGCAGCCATCAGCGAATCACTGCAAGGAGCAACGTGGGGTGAAACTTCCAAGGGAACTTTGGGGTGCTCACATTTCTTTAACGGGGTACTTAAGGAAAACTAGCTGCAGGGTGAATGCAGCTTTTGTGCGTCTCATGATTTCAAACTAGTGGGGGTGCAGTACCAAGTGGCACACCCAAGATTTGTCGTGGGGGGGGGGCTCGAGCTGGAATATACCCACCCAAATAGCTCACGATGCTGAAATCCCCACTCCGGTTGCTCCACCGTGCTGACCCAACTGAAATCTTGAGGTGAGAGCATTTGGGAATGGCGGATATCTGCTGGGGAATACGCGCTCTTCCTTCGGTCCACCGGAGTTTAGGCCAATGAAATTTGATTTACTGTTTCTCGTCAGAGGCTTTTCAAATTGAGATGTGTTTTTGTATTTGTATTTTCATTATTCCTTTTTTTACATTCAAAAGAATGCCATTTTCACGCGCATAAAAAAGATATTCGGTGCCCCACGAGGCTGACAAGCCCACAGGCATTCGGGCTCTGGATTTTCGGTGTGTTCTGATGACTGGAATTGCTGGAACGTAACTTTCGATGTTGGGAATTAGATTTTCCATCAGGTTTAGCCAATTTCGTTTGAACAATAAATGAATAATGATTTTTTTATATGTGAGGCCAACATCACATGCGGGCACTGACGAGAAACAATAAATCTAATTTCATTAGCCTAACTAAGCCCTGCAGCGAAGTAATTTGTACAACTTACTGGAAGCAACTATCAGTCGCGGAACAAGGGCACAAATTTCTGAGGGAGGCACCAGGAGGTGCACAACCGTTTTCCAGAAGAGTACTGAAAGCAAATTAGCTGTGGTCTCTATAGGTTGTGTAAGTTTAAAATTTCAAATGAAGACACCAGAGAGGGGGACACGGACTTTGGCAGGAGGAATGTGCCCCCCCCCCATGATGCCACGGGAAACACTTTTTAGAAGGTCATTCGCAAACACGAAGAATAATGAAGACACAGTACAGGAAAAAGAAACATCACTTAAGGGGATACAATAACCCATTTCAAATTTTTACTCCTGAAAAAATCCATGGCAGGTTGGTGCGGGTAAGGAGGCGTTACAGCTGTTCATTTTCTCACAGAATGTTACAATTCTGTCAACCAGCCCCAACTTTGAAATTAGTTGATTGGCAGGTCGGAGAGATTAACGCACGTCCACTTTTTTATCAGCCCGTTCCATAATTTCAGAAACAAATATTTGGCTTAATCTTCAAATACAATACCCAAAACTACAAAAAATACTTAGATTGCAGATATTATTGACGCACAAAATCTCGATCTTGAAAACGCATTTGATGGAAGTTTTCATAGCTTCATAGAATCAATTTTCATAAATAACTCTTATAATTGAACAAAGATAAAACGTAACACAGACTATTCACCAGCTAAATCAAGCAAAGAAAACACAACTCATGGTTGTACAATCATCTTAAATAGGCATTGGTAAAATTATGGACAAATGTGATTCTTTCTCTTGCCTCAAAAATATTCTTATTTATATTAGTTAATCTTACTTAATATTATTTTCTTCTTTCATTATTCAGTGCTGTAAAGATAATCTTGACTAATACTGAAGACTGAGCGACCATTCTCGGTGACACTTTGGGGTCGTTTTTCAACACTCAACTTCGTCTTTATTTCAGGCTTCATCTCCAAATCCATTCCCGATTGTAGGCTTGAAACATTTCAAATTAATTGCAGTACTACGATATTTGCTCTTCTGCACCATTATTTGAAACTCCACTGGTACTATCAGACTTAATATTGAGCTAACAACTCCAAAGTCAGGTGGTAAACAACCAGACGAAGCATAAAACGATGACGAAGTTGAGTACTGGAAAACAGCCTTGGCGACTGGTTCGACTAATTGGGGCCAAGCTGGATTATATTCACAGACTGCACTCGTGAGCATCAGGGGAGGGAAGGGGCATCTCTCCCCATAAAAAAAGAATTTACAAAGAAGGATAAAAAGAAAGGAAAAGAAAATGAGAGGATAGGGACAGAAAATCATCAAGTTGCTTAAAATACCCAGGAACTGACCATTTCTGTTGTTTATGGTTAACAGTTTACTGCTGAAGAGTGTTTTCCTCCTTCGAAAAAAAAATAATAATCCTTAACCCCGACAACCTCCCTGGAAAAAATCTGCTGATCCATGACTGCAGTAGCTATACAGATTTTACATGGAGCAATAACTACATATACAAAAAGCATTTGAGTCTGCATTAATTATTTCACCAGGAAAAAACTGAAAGCAATAGTGACCAGCCATATCGTCTGAAATGTTTTTTTTGGTTCCAATGCCCGGTCCTCAGTTGATTTAAACTCGGTAAAACTTTGTAGACTCAGTGCTTTGAAAATTCGTGAACAAATTGACTTACTGTTCCTAATGACGAAGACTGCTTTGAGTATCAAACTAGCCTATCTGCCAGAAATGGCACCATTGAAGTAGAACGAGAACACAAGAACATTTTTCTCCACAAAAACTACCTTCTGTTCTCTACCCAGCATCAGAGTAATTCTTGCAAGTCTGTCGGGACCTTTTGGTCAATAAACAAACTTTATCTTCTCAATGCTTCCTTTGAATTTTCCTGTCTTACATGACACCCATGCCTTACTTGAAGTCCTGGAAAGCTGTCAACCAGCTCGGCATGTCCTGGTTCCTCCATCGATCGACTTCTACGGCCCATTCCTCCTCCAGTGCAGTACTGTTGGCTGTTTGCAACAAGACACCAAAATCAGTAGGCGAGTAGAGAAAGCAAGTTTTTCTCTACTCGCCTTCAAAATCCGCTAACAAAACAGAAACTCTGCCTTGAATAGCCATCAAAGACAACTTTAAATAGAGAAAGTGCCTTTTCCAACAGCATGTTAAGGTCCCTTTGTCCTCTCTATCCCAAAGAAACAAATTCTGGCTACTGCCCCCCCCATTATCTGGCATCTGCTACCTCCTCTTTCCTGCTGAAGAACAAACCCAAATTATAACATCTCAATAAAAAAGAAAAGCATTAACAGCTAACATTTAACCAAGAATTACATAGAAAGGTTCAGGGAAACATCAAATGGGAGAAGTCCGAGTTTTGGCATCCACAATCTCTTCAGCCCTGAACTCTCTCCAATTTAAACAGTTAGATAAGTAAATTGTGTTCCCTGTTAACTGTTTATATCCAGGAACGGATAAAACAAAAAAATATCACCTGTGAAAGCCGCCAGCTTGGGTATGTAAGAGTTCCAGAAGGCGCATTCGTTAGCTTTGAGGGACCTTCCATTCTTCATGTCAGGGGACAACTCCTTGTAAACCGGTGATGCTGGGGGCCAGTACGGGGTCCAGGAATTGGCAGAAGGTAAAGAACTACCATCGGGATTTCTAGATGTGAGGAGGGTTTCACCAAATGTAAGAATTTAAGTTCAAGGTATGACTGACGTTAAAACTAAATACTGAATGTTATCTTGTATGCAATATTAAGAATGCTCATCTCTTGCCTGGGGGTGCTACAGGGGCCAGAAACCCCCCCCCTCCCCGGCTAGCAGTTGGCCTTCCCCATAAAAATCAAAATTATCAATTTTTCTTGTGATGTGCCCTCCTGCCAGCAGGCCTACTGTGGCCTGCCCCTTATGCTTGAGACTGGTGACAGGGCTGGCTTTTTTGGCTTTTCATGAATTTCATTCAGCTATCTCATAGAAAACCTTTTGAGTCGGAAAATCAAAACAATTTTGAAAATTACAACTTTTCAACAAATAAAAATTGACATCATAATGCTATGTACCTGTTCCAAGAAGTCATATTCCAATCTCCTTATGTGGAGATTGGCGCGTGCCTAGCACACACTGCATGAGGTGGCATAGAACATGATGAGCCAGCCAGTGCTTTATAACTCATGTAACACCTGCCACGTGACAGCCATGCGACTGGGGCTTGACCGATAGGAATGCCTAAACTGTCTTAGGTATTTTTGTATCCGACTTTCTTGACAACCCTCTCCCTGTCAAAAGCCATGAACCAAAATACATCTACTGTGTAATCAATGATTCAGCGAAATGAGAATCAGCCATCATAAATACAGTAATTATAACAATAATGTTGCATGTGCTTTGGTTTTTGGAATAAGCTAAATACCACATTCCCAGTAGGGAAAAGCAGTACCAATAGTGCGAGCATGCTCTAAGTCATAACAAGGTGTTCCTGAGATTGCATGTGTGCATGTAGTTACAGGCTAATGATAGGGTGTGTCAGTTTGCTATTCCAATTAGAATTCTACACCATAATTATTGTTGGGGGGGGGGTAAGGGCCCCCCAGAAAAAAAGAAAAAGTGAAAGAAACAAACAAAGGGGAGAAAGGCAAAAAAAATCTCTGATTAACTTAAAAACCACCTCAAATTAATCCCCTTTCAATTTTGACTGTTAGTTGCTGCGGGTTACTGCTTTAAAATCCCGGAAAATATCCTGGAGATTCCCCAATTTTCAACAGGGCCACTTTTGAGCCTGTCAGTTCCTACATGCTCACCCAGTCTTGATGAAGTTCGTCCAGTAAGTGGCCATCTGTATCCCAAGCTGCTTGTCTACCGCTGGCTGAGAGAAAAGTCTATCAGGGTTAAGCCCAAACATGAAGAGAAAAGGAATATCCTCTGCGTGGCCCACACCTAGCCACTTGGGCCCCAGCCCACCAAGGCTGACTAGAGACTTTGTTGGGACGTGCGTCAGGTGGTACATGTAGACAGTGCGGTTGTCGCTCGCTATGGCTGACCGCGCGAAGGCATCCGTCGGGCAGGCAAATGCCATGTCGGTCATAATAGCCACAAACGACTGAAAGTGGTCGGCTGTTGCGTTATCTGCCACGGACCAGTCGAGGTACTGCTGCTCCATAGCACTCAACAGTAATGGGCGGTTGTAGCTGTAGGTGTACAATGGAAGTAACTCTCGAAAATCCCGCAGGGGAATTTTAGGGGCTTCATCAGCATTTAAGTAGTCCCTGTCAGAAGAAAAGGATAACAAGTAAAAACAAGGAAAAGATTCAAATAATGCTGAAAATGTAGTCTCCTGTGGTCTCATATTGCTTTTTAAAAACTTGGCAGGAAGGTCGGTCTTAACTGCTTCATTTGTGGCAAACACCGTGAAACCTCTGTTCATGTCTTTTTGATTGTGAATGTGTCACTCTAATTCTGTCCGACCCCCCCGTATTATTCATTCTAAACACAAAGTAAATTTCCAGATTGGTCATCTGAAATTCTATTTGTTTTCTCTCAAAACAAATTCCTATGTATCATATTTACAGGTGTACATTTCAAGCCAAAATTCCGTCCTTTAATGGTTTGAAATCATTCTCGAAAGATCAATATGGTATGAATGTGGGACAGCAAGGAGAAATCGATGTCTTGCTGTTCATTTCAAGAAATGGATATTTTTAGGTTAACTGTACATTCATCCGTTGTGATGATAACCTTCAATTTTTGTCTCCTCAACCCATTTTTTAACCACTTCAACAATCTGAAGTGTTACAACTTTTCCTCTCTATTATTCCATTAATCCACTTCCCCTGTTGCCCCACCCAACGTCTTACCTCAAATAAGCTCGCAATGCAAAAAGTGTTCCCTCATCCCGATTTGAGCCCATCAGGAGATTGCCCGGGTTGAGGGAGCCCCTCTGCAACAAAACCTCGGGCTGATCCGGGATGAAGTCTTTGTCTATGACTGGCTTGAATGGGAGGTCATTGAAGACTGTGTCTGACAGCAACTGGCCAATAGAAAAGAATTGAAAAAGAATTGGAGGCTATAATGTGGCACTTCTGACTTCATGGGAATTCAGTAACAGAGCCATCACTTATGGTGACCTAGATTTCAAAAGGAGTAACATTTGTCTAACATATGAATAACCTCTTGGTGGGTAACAGATCACATCGCGAATGATTCATCCAAATGCACAGCACAGCTGCACTACAAATGGAATGTTCCATCCTGCAGGTACATGGAATGATCAACGTTCCATCCATCCACAGTCACAAGATATTTCTGAGCTTGGAGGTGATGCAGTGATTTACTTAGGAAGATTTTTCAAAATTGAGTCAGGCCTTGTGAGAAACAAACAATGAATGTTTGATACTTGTGCAATGTAAAGAATAATTCCACAAGGTTACTGACAAAAAGTTCCATTCCCTTTGGTTTTGCCCCATGGAATGGAACATTTCACTAACCACTGAACTCATAAATATTATTTGTATGTTGCATGACACAAAGGTATCAAAGGCCTACATACTTCATGCACAGACGTTTCTGACCTACACTTTTTGGGCCTTTTCTAGATGCTCTACTGGCCAGTGGACACCAATCGTACGCCATTACCTGTCTCTCTTGAGCGTTGAGAGTTCTCTCTGGCGTTTGACGGAGACAGGCCACCATCTCTATGTTGGAGTCTGTCGGGCACTCGACACGACGCGCCAGGTCCTTGGCCATCACGAGACTCCGCTTGCTGTTCAGACTGGAGTCAATGGCCCACGGAGACAAGACATTACCACTCTGTTAGAAAATGCATGAAGGAAAGAAACATAGAATGCATGACTCATTGACTGTTGAAGTGTTATTTAACACTGACAGACCATTGAAAAATGCAGACGATGATAGAGCAAAATATCTAAATAATCCCAAACATATGACCGAAATCAACTGAAGATTCTAAATATCTAAATGGACCAAAACTTAAACTGAAAAAAACTACTGAAACTGCAACAGTGTGTAATAAGTGGACCTCAGGGGAAAATAAGTGATATGGAAATCAGTGACTTTACAGCAGACAAGACTGAAGCAAGGTGCATCACCAAAGAAGTGGGAGAGAAATACTTAAGTTATCTCTTCACTGCTGCAGTCGGCTTGCTCAAATGCATGTGGCTTGTCCAAGTGGCAAAACTTTGAGGAAGCGGCTTGCATTTGAATAAACATATGAGGATGCACTACTAAAAAAGGAAGTGAACATCTAAACTAAAACTTTATAAAAGGGGAGCTACTCCTATTAACAAAATGCATTTAAAATCTGACTGATTTTAAGCCTCATAAATTAAAAGAGGCTGACCTAAACCTGGAAATGCACTGTCCTGAAGGAAAGAGTGTCAGCTGGGCGGACAACCTGGTGTGAGATTAAGGCTGCAGCGACTAACAGAGATGGGTGGAGGAGAGATCTGGGGAGGAGTCATGTGCCACCTGGCAGCTGGCACAAAGTGGACATGTGAAAAAGTATGATTTCTGGCTCTGCCACACTTACCTGCATGATCGCTTGGTGGAAGTAGCCTTTGCTGTGGGGGGACAGCAGATGGGCTGACACACTACCAGCCCCTGCGCTTTCCCCGACTATGGTCACTCTGGAAGGATCACCACCAAACACTGCAACGGAGAGAAGAGGGTGTGGTCATGAGTGATTTATATACAGCACATGAAGAAATCTCTGTCATCGGATTGATGGATTGGTCAGTGATCACTCACTGTGGAATAACTCTTACCATTGCAAAAATGGAAGTCCTATTCCATGATAAATAAATGCTTGATTCTGTGGTCATGAGAATTTTCTGAACTTGTAGATGATGCAGGACTTCTTCAGGCAGGGAAGTTTTCAGGATTAATTCAGGTAATGGGGCGGGAGCTTTTATAATAAGAATCTTAATGCTTTCTTTAGGGACATTGTCATCTCCACAGATTTGATTTGCTATCAGATTTTCCTCACATCCCAAATGGCTGGATCTTCATAATTTATTGCCCTTCCAAAAACGCAGTACACTGATTACACTTCAAAAAAGCCCCTCTGTTTTCTAACCTGCAATGTTTTTCTTGACCCACTTTAACACCTCCAGCTGGTCCATTAGTCCATAGTTACCAGGAGACGCTGCATCCCCTGTAATTAGAATAATATGCCAAAAAGTGGAATCTTCCGAATGAAAAGAAGGGAATAGAGATTTAGTGTGGTCAATTATTGCCAAAGTAATCTGTTTGATAAAAATACATACAAAAAAACTTATGACAATTCTGGGTGTCAAGAAGACATTTAGGGGTCTAAAGTCAAAGTGAACAATTTTGGAAGGTAACTTTTTGAAACATTATTTTAGGAAATTCTTCCTCACACTGTTTGAAAACATATATGGGTTTTGCTAAAATTTAAAATTTCTTGTGTGAAAGTGTCAACAGAATGTAAATAACTCCATCTCCATATGAAATTTAATATGTGCAAAGTTACCATTCTTTCCCCTGATTAGGGTACACCTTTTTTTTTTCATTCTGTTGTTCTCATTTTGATTGACTTTAAAGGAGGTCAGTCAGGGAAAAACGGGGAATGCTTGCTTCTTCCGCGGAAATTCTTAAGATTATCACATTAAAAATATTCTCAACAGGAAATTTAAGATGGGGTCAGCTGCATAAACAATCAATCAGAGGCAAAAATCAGGGTCTGCTGGTAGTAAGAACCATCAAATTAATCACATACACCCTTATACCTGTTGAAAGAAATCCATACAGTCCAAGGCGATAGTTGGCGGAGACAAAGATCATATCATTGGCCAGAGCAACCAGAACAATTGGATCATAGGTTGGCGATGTGCTGAAACCATACTGGTATCCACCACCATGGAACCACACCATTACTGCTGCACCTTGCTTCTGAGAAGGAAATAAGGACAAAAACGTACAAGTTGAAAACAAGTCAAGTACAAGATGCTGCACTGTTTTGGTTCTGCAGGGGACCACACAATAGCAAATACACTTTTTCTTCGTGTAATGAAGCAAGTGTTGAGGCTAGATATTATCAAAGTTGGTGTATTTCAATCTTGTGTGTGGGGGTGGTGGAAATAAATAGGTCACACAAATTTCTTCCATTGGCCATTGTACCTGTGGGTTGTTTTTTGGAGAATGGAGGATGGCAGCATGGTTTTGGGAAAGGCTTTTGCAATGGCAATAATTATATTAATGTACTCAAATAGGAAATAAAAATGAAAAATTGATATTTCATTCAGCATTCAGACTACCCGTCTGAAGGCACTGTCAAAAGATTATGGAATTTTTTTTATTTCCAAACAAGAACTCTTCTTCAAAACTCTGCTTGGCAAGCATGAAGTGGATCATTACCCCTAGGGTGAAAAATCTGAAAATCTTCATACTCTATTTAAAGTATGTAGTGCCGGCGCGGCGGGTTAGGCTGGTGGAGGCGCCAGCTCGGACCCGCATGGAGCTGGCTGGCCCTGCTGGTATGCGAAAAGCCTATGGCTTTCCCGCCTCGCGCCTGCTCAGTCCCCACCTAGACATCTCATGTCTAGAGCTTGTGTGTGTGAGACAGCTTTTTGACTTTGTGAAAATAAACAGAGCAGTTTTGCCCAGAACGGCGATTTGCACCTGACTAAGTGGCTCTTGTCAGCGTCAGAGCCCATAGGCAGGACACGCTACAAGTAGCTTATGCTGTCCTTCTCTGCCCCCCCCCCATAGGCTCTGAGTGACATCACAAAAATCTGCCTGACTTACTGCATTCTCTGGTGCATAGACATTGAGATAGAGGCAATCTTCACTGCTAGGTATGATGGGTTGAGCACAGCGATTACGCGCATAGGTGGCATTCCACACACCATTCCAAGGATGGCGTTCTTCAGGGGGTCTGAACCGCTTGGGTGGCTCAGCGTACGGGACGCCTTCGTAGACATCAATGTCTACATTAACCTGGTAATGAAACAAAGGCAGAAGATTCCATTGTGAGAGGATGCCAATGATATTTGAGCTGCAATCAATCCATCAAAATTCCCTATGAGTGCTTTTGGCTTGCGACCGGACTGATGAAAGGACTTTAAAGGTCTTGTGATAGACTTGACAACAGACCTGATACAAATCCATCGACACTGAAAACAGGAAATCACTGGAATCAAAACTGATAGGTCAATCTGCTGATTAATCAAATGATTGATTAACCCTCCTATGCAAAGATGCAATCTGCACCAAGTTGTCCTATCAGTCAAAACCAGTCAAACGACATAAGATATGTCTATGTACTGTAGAGGGAGAAGTGGAAGGAATCTGACTGTCTGTCACTGTTAATCAATCAATGTGTTACCTGATATATTTGACAAAGTTAAGATCAAGTTATCATCCGTCACCAAAATGCAATTTAACAAGTGAACCAGTTTTGAGCAAAGTGACAAGCTCTACACATGAAGGGCATCCATTTTGCATGAGTGGCCTGACTTGAAAAAGACTCCTGACGGACAAAGGTTGTTTATGAGAAATATGTGGCTCAATATCCAGATATACGTGACCAAACTACAGGAAGCGGCACAGAAAGAGTGAAATGACTCGTAAAGCATATTGAACCTTCAAGAATTCAGCCTACATTGCAGCCTAACAGTTGATCATTGTGCAAGAACAACTTATTTTGGACTATTGAGATTGCACTGACCCTTAAGTACAGCCGCTCCACAAAGTTTTCCGTTCTTCCCAGCAGCATCCCCTGTGACACATTGACCACAGGATCAGCCACCCCAATGTAGAATGAGGCAAGCAGCACAAATGGAGAAAAAATCACACCTTTAAAGGTGTCCATCATAAAGACAATCTGAAAGAAAATTAAATGCATTACAATCTGTTATAAGAATAATCAATTCTCTGTAAGTGATCACAATACATGTACGTTGAATTGAAGGAAGACGCATTCCATCTTCCCAGTTTTCAAGGCTCACAGGTGGAATGTACCTTTGAATCACTTTAGTTCAATTCCAAAGACAAAATACCAATGTTCTAAACCATTTTTCCACAATGATTCATCAATTTCTCCAGGCCAGTGGCTTAACAGCTTCGTGGTTGAAAAAGGAAGAATTTCAAAACATGTTTTGACTCACCTGACATACATGTACGTGCAACCATCCGACATCCGAAGGATTTTCTGAGAGTGCATGGTAATAAATAAAAGGTTGAGGAGGCTTTCTATTGGAGATGTTATCAGTTAAGGTAGGGATTTGGCGGTGATTACCTCTCTGGAATTGGTCACTTATCTTTGATTTTTTCTGTCTGTATGTAATTACAATGATAACTATCACTTTGTGTCATGGGGACAGACTATTTTTATAACACAGCAATATGTTAACACTGAGTGGGGTGATTTTAAAACAAATAGTGCCGTTTATGACAATGTTTTCAATATGATAGTGGGGCAACTGTGGATCAAGGCCTGGTTGTCAAGGGATGTGGTTCACGCTTTTCCTGTCAGAAAGCCAGTTATTGGTTTACACAGCTTGGCTATGTCTGAAATTGGGTTTGGTCTCAATGGCTTTGCATACAGTAGTAGAAGATAAGTCTCACCAAGTCCTGAACCGGATGAGAAAATGCACAATATCTAAAAAGCCCCATTTTCAGGTCACTTACCACTGAAACTGCATGCTGAAGTGTAATACCGAGCAAGGTTTCCGGCCAAAATGCCACTTAATGCACATGCACTTGGCTGACACTCACCAAATTTAGTTGTACAAGTAACTTTAAGGGCTCCAATCCGTAAATAATTAACAGCTTGAAGTATCACCTGTGGAACTCGCCATCACAACAGTATAACAATCATGCGCTGAAGCCTCTAATGTCTTGAAAGCAATGCTTTATTTCACAGTCAATATGCAATCTGTTACATTCAATTACCCTCTCCTAAAAAAACCCACACAACCCCCCATAAAAAGCCCTTCCCAAGAGTGATGAATTTGTTGCCATGACAATGTTTATCATTCAGAGCAAAACCAAGTCAAACCCCGGCAATAACTTGGTGAGACTTACTAAGATCACAGATTACACTTAACAATTCGATACCTGGAAGTCAATGCAACTTCCTTTTTTTTTTCCAGTGCCGCAGAAGAAAACCTTGAAAAAAAAAGTCTGCATGATGAAGATAGCCATTTGAAGGTCACAAAATCAAATGCGTATCAGAACGAGAACGCACTGAATTATGATTTTTACGGCTGTTTCTCTATCCTTCCTATTATGAATAGATATCAAAAGAGTGATGACATATGAATATGACCTCAAGTAAAATTTACCAAGGTTGCAGTTCACCAGAGTGACCAAGGCTTTGCTCCTACTTGTAATTTCTCCTGCATCATGTCCAAAATATAATCTTCATAAAAAAAATCACAGGCTGTGGCCTTCTTTTGTCCACAACTGACGGAAGTGGTTTTGCTGGCTTAGTGGCATGCTACTTTCTTATCTTGTGCCTGTGACAGAAAAAAAGGGAGTACCTTGACAATCTCAACCTGATGTGAAATGCTGAACTTTGAAAACTAGACAGAGTGCCGTAAGATGTACGAAAATCAATCCAAATTCAACCAAAGCCACACACAAACAACGCACCCCAAACTCAACATGATTCACATGACTTTGGATAAACCGCTGCTTTATCTGTGTTTCACAACTAATTGTGAGCAGACATGCAGTGCAATTTGGGTGGGGACATGTGTTTGTGTAATGCATCCCAAGGACAGAGTTGTTCAAAACATAGGTAATGTATACGCGACTTTAAAACAGAGTCAACTTGCTCTACTATGAAAAAGATAAACGCCATGATTTGAACAGAATTTTTTTTATCAAGTCACTGTTCACTGTCTAAACTATTACTTTTTTGAGGGATGTGTGTGGAGATGCATTTCTTCATAGACCTCATTCACACGGAAGCATCACAAACTTTCAATTATTCTAAATGTCAACCGGCATTAATTTGTAATGAATTTTTATTTCCTTGCTCTTATTTTTACTCAAAGGTTCCCCAAATGAAAAGTTAACCTCATTTTCAATTTGAGTTGGCCGATACATGAATACACTCTATTGCAAAATTTCATCTCCTGATTCATGCTTAGTGACACTTCCTGCAACAAACAAGGGTGCTCTAGCCACTTGTTCCAGGCCGTTATTTGTCAAGGCGCTGCTAAGGTCATAAAGTCAGTCGCCTAGCAACACACTCATCTATGTCTGCCTAGCAATGCCTGTGACATTTACGGGGAACCCTGATAAAAGTACATGTACCCATCACTGAGCAAAACTTTGTGGATAAGCACGACTCATCACCTCCAATGCTACACACGCTCATCTAATCAGTTGTTCCAAGGGCAGATCCAAACCAAATTTTCAGGGGAAACTGTTTCATGGGGGGGGGGATTGGAGCCACAAATTTGGGAATTTTTTTTTTCAAGTAACATTTTATGGCTGTTCTTCTGCACAGTAGAAAGAAAGAGAAATTTCACAATTTTTCAAAAAAAAAATTCTTTGTTGGAGGATAGCCCCATTGCCCCCATCCCCCAGATCCCACCTCGGGTTGTTCAGAATATCTGTTTTGCTGACATTTTGAATCTGGACACACATAGCTGAAGCTCACTGAGCTGGGAAGCAGAAATATCTGCTAAGTGATGAAATGCTGGGAATGGGTCATAAGCAGTACCCATCATGTGACCTTTTAGCTGGTAACTTGTCTCTGCTTAGCAAATATTTTTGTACTATACAGCTCAATGATTTTGCCCCCCCCCCCGGGTAAAATGAGTTTACTAGAAAATTTGTCACCCAGAGCACACACAAGACTGCTGGCGGGATAATTATCCAACAGGTGGGTCGGGTAATTTTGTGACACAACACGTCTAATTGATTGGTCATTTGGTGCACGTAATTGCATGTAAATCAGTGGAGACCTTCCAGAGCTACTGCTAGGTCTATTGTTATTGTTTCATTGTGTATTTCCGATGGAGTGAAGACCTAGACCTAGCTCTAGACAACAGATTTGGATGCAGCCATAGCAATGCTTATGTGTGAGTCTCACTGCAAAACTGTTTTGGCCTTTAAACTTCTGACACCGTTTTTTTTTGCTTCAGAAACACATACATTTACCTTCATCATAAAGAATTTTGTCTCTCTTGCAAAATCAGTGGATGTAGTTAAAACAAACATCAGAAACACAACAATTTGTACTGTAATGCCCTTCTTCTTTAGATCTGTATCGTTTTTTTCAACTCACATTGTCACTCATGGTAAAATGTCCCAACGCTTTTTTTTCCAATGTATAGCACCCGATGTACACTTACACCTACAAAATAAGCCGTGAAACTCTTTGTACAACACTGAAGTTGGACTTGAAAAACCCTGTTTTGTAATAAAAATACAGCCGCTAGTACAATTTCTATCAATTTCTTTCTACAGGCAAAGTGAATGTACAACTTTAAATTACAAGGAACTGCTGACAGAGTGAAAAAAATCCTACATCAAAACATCATCCCCCAAAACAGGAATCATTGACCACAGTACACATAATGACTGAAACTAAAGTGCAAGGACTTGACACCTTCAATTAAAAGTGCAACGACCCCATCTGAATAGCATTTCTGGGGGGTACCAGAACATACAGTCTCCAACTACACAAACAGCCCTGGAGATATTCATGTTCAATTCAAGTAACACACACACAATGGTCCATCATGACAATCTGTTAGCACCTGTGCACTGCTCCTTGACCAATTCATTTACTGCATGCTGTGGCTTTACTCTCTTTGAGCTCCAACTCAGACCATGCTACGTGTATTTTGGGTTTGTCACAGCCACAGTCACGGTGTCAATGAACTGTGCGTAGGCAAAGCACAACATCCAAACGTAGCGACCGTAGGACCCTGCCAAGGGCATTATACCTCATTGCTGTGGCAAGGTCATATGTGACCTGTCACCACAAAATGAGCTGAAAGTCGCAATTTTCAAAAATTGACATATTGGTATTTTTTTAATTCTGCAGAAAAAGAGCTTTCCAGTGGTATATACATGGAATACTCTGGGTAAAAGTATCAGGTGACAGGTGGCATTATTCTGGCAGCTTTGCGTCTTGGTTTCTGACATAGTTTCACCATTTAACACCATGCCAGAATAATGCTATCGTCAAAACTGCTGAGAAAATGATATTTTAATATATGATCTTGTGAAATATCAGGAATTAAACAGAAGACTGGTTACTCTTTCCAAATATTACAAATCCTTAAAACTAACCTCCACTTCAAAATGACTTTGAACCGTCAAAATAGGAAAGAGCGAGATGGGACTTTACTCTCATGTTGTTGTGACAGGTCACATGTAGGTAGTATAATGGTGACTACACTGTGTTATAATGCAAGGATACAATACTGTTGAAAATTTCTGCACCATACTTAACAGCTCAGCGGCATATGCTGGTGACAGTACGTAATGGTGAACCACCCTGACAGAGCACAGATTAAAAAACTGTGATCAGCTCTATGCACAAAAAACACTGGAAGGTATTCCCTGGACAAATCAACAATACTCTCAAACTGGCGAGACACACTGTAATCACGAGCTCGTTCATGCATGACTGGCCAAGGATATCACAGGCGCTGGCTCCCAAATTAATAGAGGGATTTCACGTTGGCACCGTCTGGGCATATCTGCATCGAAACCGAAGCTCTCTGTGTTGAACTTCGTCACGCGCACCCGCAAAGTCCACACAGTACATGCAGTATCCGGTTCATAAGTGTGACACCACTTCAGTATAAACCACGCCCACTGCACAAGATACACGACCATCGCAGGTACGTTAGTTCGCAGTAAATTGCCATTATTTTTTCTTTTGATTTTACGTGTCTAGTCATCCTGAAAGACTCTTCCACAAAAATTTGCAGCCTGAAAAGTCTGAATTTAACCATACCTTTATGTATTTTGATCGTATTTTGATCGAAGCTGACACACACGACCTCATTTTCAAACGCGGAAGTGCGCAGATCAATGCTAAAAGCGTCATATTGGGATCCCTCTATAGTGCATTCCTGTAAAAGCAAGATGTTTGGTTGTAAACCCAACCACTCAATTAGCTACCAGAGAAGGCATACTTTTGTAAAGAGGAAAACCCAGTGTCTTCTGATGACCACATACTGTCTGACTGTGTACATCCACACGCATACACAAACAATAAACATATCACTATAAGCTCTTGTGAAAAAGACCTCTCTCAGTGACTAATGAGTGACAGAAATGGCTGACGCACATGTAGACCAGCGCGAATGTGGAAAGCTGCTCTCAAGATACGCCCATTCCGGTGAAAATTAGCCATGCCCACCCTGTGCTGCCAACATGCAAGCCACACACGCACTGCCTCGTCGACAATGGAGCTCGAGTGAAAGATAGCATAGAGCAATTTGTCCTACTGTTCTGCAAGGAGTCTGAGAAGACATTTAACAGTACACAATGTGCGCTACAACTGCTGTACCAGAGAAAATGAAGGTACACCATGTGTTCTTTGACACAAACCAGATGAGACAACTTGGATCTGTCAAACCATATGGGCCAGTACTGCATGCTTCACATTTTGGAGTTTTACTTCCGAAAGAAAAAAGAAAACCAAAAAAAAGCAAGGGTACCTCAGGTCAAATGCTTCCACAAGATTGTCACCTTACAAGCTGGTAACAGCAACAGAAATACACACAAATTATTGCAATAATGAAACGGGGGACCCTAAAAACCCACACTACTTGGTGAAGGCTTGTCTCACTACATAACAACATGGATTGAAAAGGAGTCCACAAAGATGCAAGAGTCCAAAAAATAGGAATATCAATAAGATAATAAATATGTACAGAATGCTGTGCCAAGTTAATTATATTCTATACTCTAGTTCTGCAGCTTAACTTTGGTAAGTTCTATAAATAAGGTGCAGAGCTCAAAATGTTGTTTGTCCAGTGAACCACTGAAACTATCTGCTGGCTGGAGATTGACCTGTCTAAATATGACAATAATTCGTTTTCCATTTCAACAGGTAGGTTCCTAAATCACATGCGTAGAGATCATTGTTGCTATTGATGTGACACTTAATCTTTCAATTATCAGAAGTTTAATTTTCTAGAATTTTTTCACCATTTTAATTCTTTTATTTTCTTTCCTCCGGTATCAGAAGTTTATATTTCAAAATAACAGCATTTCAGAAAATCTTTCAGAATCATTTCTTGTGTAAGTCATTTTCTTCAAGGACTGAAGTTAGGTATTGAGAACCGGGGCAAAATTTGAATAAGGCAGAGAAAACTTTCAGAGAAAAAAATTCAGAGAAAGTTGAAAACTAAAAAAAAAAATGCAATTGACAGTCACGTTCCAGTGGAGTTAGTTTTCAATCTGAAGATAAAATTCTTCTTTGGATAATATGTTCATGTATATGCAATTGCACCATGTGACGTATGACATTATTTCAAAGTAACGTAAGGTTGGTTGCTACATGTACCTTCCGAGGGTTTCTGAGAGGGAAATAAAAACATACAGCCAATCAATTAATCCACCAGCAAAAAGTTAAACAAAAATCCCACTTTCAGCTCTGCGCATATTTCATTTTCAGACATATATATAAAATAATATATACAATCCATGTCTAACTGACCAACACAACAAAAGAGATTGTGAAAACTAGAAATTAATATTTATAACAGTTATAGGAATAATATCATTATAACCACAGTATCATACATTACATAGTTTACAATGTACAGGGGCGTTTGAAACAGGTTAGGGATAAATCTACCATTGGAAAGAGGATCAAAGCAGGGTTGGCCAACAGCCCTCTCAGCTCTGCTTGATTCTCTTCCTGGGTGGTCCCATGAAGGGTGGGCTTTGCGAGGTGGCAAGGGCACGGAAGGCGTCGGCGACGAGGTTTGGGTGGCTGTGGACCATCGTCTTCCAGCCCGCCGTTTCCATGACCTCAGGGGCGTGGCTGCTTGAGAAGACAGAGGAGGAAAAGAACGAGTGTTTTTTGAGGTATCTAAAGATGCTTTTAGCAAATGAGTCCAAGTGTCATGTCCATCATAAGTCATGTCACAAGTCCTTCGACAAAGTCCTGCCACAAGCGAAGTCACAATCACAAGTTCATTCACACGGCTTGTGACTTGGCTTACAACTGGATGACTTGTGATGGACCTGAGATGGGCCGGACTACAGCCCTGGTGTTCACTCCAGTAACTCACCTGTTAATGAAGTCAATTGCCACTGCTTTTAGTTGGTCCGCGCTGTGAAGGTCTGCTAGGACTAAGACTTCAGCTACGTTGTCTATAACCAGGTTGGAACATAAGGCATCTTCACACATCACCTTCAGTCTTTCGAGAGCATACTGCGTTGGATCAGATAATAAAACAGATTCAGAAAGGACACCAAAAAGTTTCTGTCTTCACTAAGAAACAGCGACATGTCCATGACATGATCCCTGCCATATCACTGTTGTGGTACTTGTGTACCATTAGATGTCTCTTCAGACATTTTTAATGTTTTGCTGCGAGCCCCTGTTCCAGAAACGAAGAAATAAGAGCTGCCTCCTTCAAGAGAGATGTGCTGAACAAGAGAAAGCTGTGATACACAAAATTGACTGTTCTCTTATTAACCCCTTCGCACCAGGAGGCGGCTACAGTCGCTGTAAAAGTTGAGATCCTCAGCCCGCTTTTCAGCTATTATTCTCGGCCCACGCTCGAGCGAACACGGTGAAAGAAGGCAGACCCTGGCTCTTGTGTATATGGTAATTGGTCTTTGAGTGTAGCCCAGAAATGAAAAGACCAATTTTGCATCATAATCACCAGCTTCACAATAGTCCCCACTTTGAAAAGAGGCAACGGGAATGTGGAAGCTTGAGTAGAGCCGCATGCCACCGAACAATCAGCCTTGTCATCGTGTACTTCAAAGCGTGCAGAGCACGCTGGGCCACAAACCAAGAATTTGTGGTTTGGCGCCAAGAAGGGGTTAAGCTTTAAAACACATCTCGGGTACAAACAAATTCCTACAAAGACAGCACAGGCCTTAGAAATGTGAATGCTGTTCAATGGTCCTCACCACGGTTTCTTGGAAATAGTTTTCCGACTTGTGACTCTCTGGTTCAATGCAGCTTAATTTACATTTACAGGACGACAACACGGTCTGACATGAACTAAGGCTGAGTCAATTTGAATAACTGAATACCTGCATAATAAACCCTCCATTTGATCAAAAATTTGGTTGAGCCAAATTCTCACAGGACAGTAATAAAATATACACATTTTTACCAAAAAGCTCAAAAATGAGAAGGAAAAGTAAATTTTGGTCTTACTGCTGGGCACGAATGCATTCAGCTGCCTTCAGGTTTACTCATAACGCCTTGAAATAGGCCTTTAGAATGCAATTTTGTTACAAAATAATTGACCGTCTCCCTATTCACCTTCAAACATTCAATGTTGAAATAGATATTTACATTAAAACCAAATATTCAAACAATCGGCACAGCCTTCATTTGAGGCCAGTGCCCATTGTGTATCCCTCTGGTTCCCAACAGGGAATGTTTAACACTGACTGGTGGAGCTTCAGGCAAAGCAAAAGATGTTACAGCACACGACACCGCCGCTCCTTCAGCAGTGCGCGTGCGAGGGGTCAGTGTCATCTATACCTTATCGGCAGCTGCCAGGAGCTCATCGGCCATCTTCTCCAGGTTGGGTGCTTTGCCTGTGTAGATGAAGCGCAGGATCTCGTTCATGACCTCAGCTTCCACGTCGGTGATGTCTACCCGGCCCAGTTTCTTCTCCTCCATCTCATGCTCAAACATGGCATTGAAGACAGGCGAACGGGCTAGCGGGGGAAAAAAATACATCCGGAACCTTACAGACAGAGGCACTTCCTTAATACTTGGTGCAACGACACAAGTCAATTTATCTGTATACCACACTGTACATGACTGTGGTTTTACCCAGAATTGACGAGTGTATGGTTTTGAGAATAAATCCTGGATTACTAAACTTGTTCATTAAATGCATTCTAAAATTTTGACCAAAAGGACTTTCGGAGTGACTTACTCCATTTTCTACAAGATACCATGCGTCACATTTTCATGCCCTGCTCATCCATAACGAGCCATTTCCATATTACTAACAATACATGCACAAAGATGAATTGCACCATAGCCATTTAAAATAATTAAACACACACACACAAGCAGGCCTGTCAGCATGGCCGTAGAGAGACTCATGAGCCCTTAACATACTAAGGCTGGCATGATGTGAGGTGTTTTTCCTGATTGATCTTGTTTTGTTGAAACCTTTGGCACTAAACATGCCCACAGCGTGTTCTGCCACTGATGTTGATTGCAAAGTCTAGCAAATGACGAGTCTGAACCACTGTTGCATTCTGTTTTACTGAGCAGTGTTACTGCTAGTTCATGTTTCGAACAACGACGAATGTGAAGAAAAACAAGTGACACCACGGCTGGCACTCAAACTGCAAATCCACAGAAACTACCACATCTCAATGGAGGCAAATTCCACCGCCCCTGCTATGATGTGCGAACTGGCCTGTACGGTTTGCAAAGCACAACGTCTTTTTACTGTACCTGCTAGTATTGCTTTGTGTACTTGGAATTCCTTGCCCGTGACACATAACGTGACGTCACTGAACGATGTCCTCTCCCACAGGGCACTGAGATCGTCAGCAAGGCGGCATTCAGGGACCTTCAACTGGGCTTGACTGGACTGACCGGAAATGTTGACTGTTTCTGCCACCACGCTCACCTGGAAAGGACGTACAAGTATCATGTATTGAAGTGAATATGTGACATGCGAAATTGTGTGTAAAAGGCATTGGCGCGAGAACCAGCGCGTGGACCAACACACACGCATACTCCATTTGTTTGCACTACACTTCCTGGTTCAAAATGATGCCTCGCTTTGGTACTCTATAAAGTGGATGGTTAGTTACTCTGGCAATCTAAACAAATGGTTCTAGAAGGCACCAAAGCTGTTTTAAGACAAAAAAGCACCAGGTTTCTTTTGTTGAGGAAAATGTTAGATTTTTTAACAATACTGGGGATGCACCTGAAAGTGTCAGGAAACAGGAAGGGTAATTTCCAAAAACCAAATGGTACAATTTACATAAATATTAACTTCAGAAAGTTTGTATAATCATACTCATCCGATTCAGAGAAAGAGAGATTTATTTTCCCCTCCCCAATGGTTAGTTTTATTTTCCCCTCCCGATGAAGTTAGTTTCATTTTCCTCTCCCCGATGGAGCTAGTTTCATTTTCCCCTCCCCGATGAAGTTAGTTTCATTTTCCCCTCCCCGATGAAGTTAGTTTCATTTTCCCCTCCCCGATGGAGCTAGTTTCATTTTCCCCTCCCCGATGAAGTCAGTTTCATTTTCCCCTCCACGATGAAGTTAGTTTCATTTTCCCCTCCCCGATGGAGTTAGTTTCATTACCTTCTTAAATTAAGAGTCTACTATACTACAAATCAAATTTCTTTCTTTTTCTCATCCAAACAAATGTCCATAACACCATCAGGGCATCGGGTTATGACAGCCTGATACAGGTTGTTCAATTTGTAAAATTTTCAAAAATCTACTCACTTCACAAAATAACGTGAGTTTATCATCAGGGAGGAGGCCGTTGGCCTCATCCATCAAGAAGTCCCGCCGGATGAATTTCTTGAAGCCCCAATCTTTGCCCTGTACAAACCGGTAAGCTCGCTGGCTTTCTGTTGATTTCAAGAAGACAACAGACAAAAGTAACAGGCAGCTCATATCGGATAAAAGCATGCATTTTAAAGTGGGACGATACATGCAACAGCACCTACTGAAGTCCTCCATGCACGGCAAGAAAGAGTAGTCAGCAAACTCCCTCCTCTCAATTTTATGCATTTTCATGTATACTGTAAATACGTACATGGGTCTTTAAATGTGAAGCTCTCATTAAATGAATAAATGCGACCGGTACATATTTACACAATTAACTATCTCTGACTGCAACATAAGAAAAAATTTCCATGCCTTTGTACCATTCATGAACAGTTTGGGCAATACTCACCCATAGCCTTTGTTTCTTCTCTCTTGGCATTCAGGATGGAGAATTTGAACTTTGCTCGCACCTCTGCTTTGTTGCAAGACACCAGGAGGAGGTAGAGAGATAAATAATCCTTGCTTTCCTCATCCAAACCCTTGGGGTTAACCCTCAAACACCTGAAAGATTGGAGGTATATCCTTCAATATTGTCAACATCCAAGCATGGTTTATAAAGCATGGGACACATTTTGTTCAATTTACTGTTTGAAGGATCATCGGACCAACAGATGCAAAGATCGGAGAGGTGTACGCTCAAAATTGAGAGAGATCAATGACAACAAAACTAGTTTGGCCATACTGAGAGGCGCCATTTTGCAATCCTATGGCTGGCCATCACATGACTGATCATAGACCATACTCAGGCATAAGGGTGGGTCGTTCTAAATCCGTTTACAGATTTTCCGAACAATTAAACAGAACTGCCCCTTTTAGAGGTTTGATGTTTGATTGATGCAATCTGGCATTCATTTTTATTGTGAACGATGCGTGTTACATACTGTTTTTCCCCCCTTTTGGCATCCACACACTTTTTGAGAAAAAAGTGGATTCTTAAACAAGAAACAAGTTGAAATGCCTGTTTGAAATGCCCAACATCAATCTACATTTTTACATACTGTAGGTTGGATCACGTGCACTGTTGAATTATATATTTCTTCAAAACACTGAGGTAGGCAGCGGTGACCTCTGTAAAGTGCTGGCTAAATGTTTAAATTATACAGGAAAATTTCTGTGAACTTTTTTTTCAAATTAAACATAACTTCGCACCCTTACTCAGACACATGTGCCAATAACATTAATTTATTTAATTACAATAGTGAGAAAAAAACACTGGTCTAAAGAACTGGTAAAATCAAAGAAAGGAGTCACAGGCTTAAGCAAATTCTTTTGAGGAGCTGAGAATTGGCAAAGATCTTTAAAGATACAGGGAGTTGCATGTCCAAGGAATGGACAAGGACAAATGATCATTCATCACAGAATTTGTCTGGGCGTGCCTTATTCTTCTCTTAATTTGTCTACTTTGCATTCATAAAATGAATATGTAAAATTTATTAAGTAATGTCAATGTTACAGTACTTGGATCATGAAAGGGCCACCGCATGTCACCGCCAGCTGACGGTACTGTAATACAATCAATGTCGAATTCATAATAAATTCACCAGGTAGAGAAACAAAAGCAACCTGTACACTTCAGTTTGAAGGTTTGGTTTCATGAACAGTATAACAGGTTCTTCTTGCCTACCATTTCAATTTGTCATTGGCTCCAGAAGAGAAAGTGGAGCTCTTGAGGACCTCGCCCATTTCTTCTCGGCAGAAGCTGAAATTGTTAATTGTCCACATGTAAGAGAATTTCACCACCTTCACCTGTCACACAAGGATGAGAAAAATGAAAAACAGACCAGTAAAACAGTATGCCTAGTTGGGCGATTCCAGCGTCGCTCGCATTTCACATATTTGCATCTGTTTACAATCTTAATGATGTAGGTTCTTGACCACGATAAATTACTCTTTCATTTTTGGTGTGAACATTATTGCTTAATATTAAATGTGAACATGGCACTGTTGAATAAAACTGTCACTCACATTTCGTGAAATGGACATGCCAAAAAATGTCGAGTTTAATTGAAAAGTTTCCTCAAACTAAATTCATCACTACCAAATGGTAATATGAACAACATTCCTATCATGCTAAGGTAGCATTGTGCAAAATCACATATGTAAAACAACAAACTGGTTTTAAGATTGACGGGAAAAGTGCCGTCACTCGCATTTCCATCACTCGCATTTCACTTTGTCCTTTCTTCATTTTGTGAACAAAAAATGTTTTCTTCCACGATTCCTATTAACTGTTGTCTGAGTTGTTTTAAACAATAGTTATAAATCTTGAGAGGGTGGTTACAATGCTGAAATACTAATTTCAATGAAAGGGGGACCTTTTAATGTCTAACTGCAGATATATATACTGAAATGTAATAATCCACAGTCCTAAAGTACAAGTAGTTTACTACAATTTTTTACCACTCACAGCAGCACAACATGTAATTCATCTTTACAACAAATCAGCCTATCATATGAATGATCATTATAAAATACGTTTGGTACAACCAGACTGCAGACTAACAGAATTGTAAAAAGTGCAAGATCTTGAATCTCAGCTCCGTAGATAGAAATACGTACAGGGTGCAGACCACTAATTCAAGTGAGAATTTCTCAAGCTCATAAGCATTAAAAGTGCCCCCACAGTATCTTTTGAAAAAGGCGATTGTTTGGCCCCCAAAATTGTGAGACTGTGAAAATCGTTGCCGTGATCAACTCTCTGGGTCTTTGAGCTTTCCATATGAAAGCAGAATGGCTAAAAACTATGGTTGAAAAAAAGTCCCAGAGAAAGTTTAGGATTGCCACTTGAAAAATGGCTGCAATCAGACTTCAGAAAAAACACTTTTTGGGGGGTGATTTTGTTTTGTGGGAATAATTAAAAATGTAATCAGTTAACCGACAAAAAATTGAAAAGCAATTGAAAAATACATGTAAGTGACCAGACAAGAATTTCATTTGTGTTTCAGAAATTTCACGGATGTTGGCGTGCATGTTATTGGGCCCTGAACAGTGCTGAACTGCTGATTTTACACAATTTTCAATGGGGCTTGAATTAGTGGACTGTACCCTACACCTGTACATGTAGTGTTGCATGCTGCTTGAGAGCATGTGGTCTTGCAGTGCATCATGGGTACCACAAAAATTATTGAAGCCTGCCCTCTATTAGCCTAAAACAATAGGCATGCATAATACACACTGCATACAAATACACATAATACATGTACATGTAACTCCTCAGAAGCTTTTAATAGAGCTGGATCTGCATTTTTATAACAAAAAGTTGTACTGTCATTTGCATTTCACTCGTCACTTGCATTTCATTTTGTCACTCGGATTTCAAATTTCATGGGCTTTGCATTTTAATGTGATAGGTGTTTTGTTTTAATTCTTACTGATTTTATGCTTGGTATTGGTGGAACAAGCAAATTATCAATTCTCATAAATTTTGTCACTTCCTGTTTATAAAAATGGAAAAAGAGTGATTGTTCCATCATTCGCATTTCATACCTTTTGGCATCTACAACTGTTTGCATATAAATTTCCTCAGGAAAAGTCATGGGCCAATTTTTGTCTTTTCTCTTAAAGGTACATAGTCAAACTACTAAATTGCATAGTATCTGTGTGATTACTACCATTCAAAGAAAAATGTTCAGAAATGAAAGTACACATAAATTAGTGCACTATTTTAAAGCCAAATATAGCAAGGAAGAAACGTCACATATTTTATAGAAAACAACAAAGATTTGCCAAAAAGGATTATATCTTCGTTCTTTCATCTATTAGCAACAATTTTAAGATGAAAAGGAAGTTCAGGAAAGAAATTGATTTCTGGGGGCCATGTCCCTGTTTGCCTGGAATTGCCCAGTTGTGTAATGTTTCTTGAATAAATCTTTTCAACCCTGCCATGAACTTTAAAAGTTGTTCTGAAAATTCAGCTTGTCCGTGTAGCTCTTGCATGTACAATGTACCTGTTCATGCTTGTCGTGCATTAATTATATAAAATTTAATATTCTACAAACTAAGATTTCTACACAAAAGAGCTTGTGCAAGGAAGACAAAAACAGAAAAGATATCAGAACTGGTGACAAAATACAAGGTTCAAGTTTCTTGAGCTCACAGAATATGCTTAATCTTAAAATTTGGTAAAGTACATGTAATGTCTCCGATTTCAATAACATACAGCTACGTGTAAATGTGACCTAAAAACAGCAACACATTTCAAAGAAATGATTTACACATTTACATCATCACCATAATTGAAACAAGCAACAAGCACATCTTCAAACACGTGTACATGTACATGAACATGTGCTTCTGTGCTCTACTGATACCTACTGGTACATACATATAGATGTACATGAATGCATTCACTTTTCCTATGATATGACATGCTCATGCACGTACATGTACATGTATTGTAAGTCTCGGTAATGATGATCTGATGTACAGATAGCTGCATTTAATGAATTATTTACATGTACTTTCTCAAAGAGGGAGCAGACTGTGTAACTCAAGATACACTAGCTGTACAGTACCAATCCATGCATAGACACGCATAGATGTACATGGTACAACATCTACATTTTTACTTACATGTATAATTTAACAGTGAATTTTATATTACGTGTAATCATTACTTGTGCGAGTGTACATGTAGGTATGTACTATAAGATACCTGAAGATGTTCATGTACACACATGTTGTATTCCTATTACAGAACAATGACTACAGTACATGTATGTAGCCAGGATTAAATCCAATTTCCTGTATGACCCAAGCCCTGTGTCTAGCAGTATTTATACATGTAGGGGAGTTCCACAAAGCTCTTATAATCCATTGTTGTCATCTGTGGCTTGAAATCAACCATGATTCCTGGAGTTCAGGCCAGCTAGCCTACAGTTATACACATGTGCATCCGTCTTGTGGGTTTTCCATGCACAAGTGCAGCTGTAGGGGATGTGCACGTGCCAGTTACTGGCCTGAAATTACATGTATCAGTAATTTGACCAACATGTTGGCAGGGAGAGCGAATGTTCACGAAGAGTACCGTACATGTACAGTGTACTGTACCATGTATGATATGCATACATGGTGTACGTTCACATACATGTATATGTAAATAACAAAAGCCTGGGTATAACATTGTTTTCCTTAATCACAGTTCTATGGAGAAAAAACCCTGTTCCCAACAAAGCTACATAACACATGCCACATACGTACATGTACATGTCTGTAGTAATCATCTGAACGTGTGCAGAAAAATGTTAATACAAGAACAAATTGGGTAATTCATTCATTCATACAGGTACATGTGTTCATATTCTTTTACTTTTTTCTCAGCACAAACGTGGCGTTTAATAATTAAATTCCCTGAACAGAAGAGATTGAATCCCCTTATACACATACTGTAACTGACCAATCTACCTGCTACATGTATTTCATGTGACAGTAGCCTAGGCTACAGGTGCATGTAGGTACACAACTTGTTCTTTAGTACATGTCCATACCGGTACACGTATCCATTTATTTTACTAGTATACATGTACATGTAGCTCCATGTACATGTACCAGTACTTGTGCCCGATGTTGCTGTCAGTGTACATGCCCCCCTCCCCCCCACAAGCTCATTATCCATTGATGCAGTCACCTAACAGTTGGGCTGTTCCTACTATTTTGGTGATTATTTTGCTTTCGTTTCACTTCATCAATCTACATGGTCATGAATGGACATTGCTTGAAAGTGTAGAATTATGTTCAGGAACAATGAAAGAGGTCTCCATGGAGCAGATACGGTACATGTACCGGTACATGCACATGTAGGATCAGAACCTTCAAGTGGGTCAAAAGAATCACATTAAAAGAAAAAAAATACTTGGCCAACCTCCATTCCTGTGTTACTGACAAACTGAGATCCACTAGTATCAATCAAAATGGCATTCTTCCTAACCATTGCCAACTAAAGAAAAAAGTGAGGTAAGACTAGAGTAATACAAAGCGACAAATGATTGTTCCACTGACGTTCCCTTAACTAAGATTGATTGGCAGCCCCCCCAGGCCCTACATCCCCTGTCAAACTAACTAAATGTAGGGATGCTTTTTGTACAAGCGACAAAAGCATTTATTATAGTGTTACCAAAGGCTGAAGTGTGTTGTGAGCAAAATATTCCCAGAGCAATGGCTTTGTTTTATATCTCTGATGGATGGTCTATGTCCAGGCTGTGACCAAGTGAATGTTCAAGGTTCAGGAAGTTCAGCGGGTAATGCAGGATGCCGTTTACAATGGTAACAATCTGTGTCACACTGACCTGGATCGGCCTGTGAAAGAGGTTACCTACAAAATGATCATACGTGTGTTTGGAAAGATGATTTAATACTAGGCTCTAAAATGTTCGAGTGCAATTGTTCACACAACCACGCCTTCAAAAGGTGCAGTTTTTATCAAGGGCCAAACATTTGACTCCCAAACAAGAGTGCTTGCATAATTTCAGTCACGTTTCCTTTCACTAGTAGAAGTAAACAATCTAAACATTGAATTTTGTGGTGATTCTAGGGTGGTGTGCACCTTCATAAGGAACTTGTACAAGTGCTAGTGTCAGTACATGCTTTCTAAGCACTTACCCCTACATGTACATGTTAGGAACCTCCCCTATGCATGCAACAAAATCTACAAAGGCACATGTGCAGTGCAGGAAACCAATGGCACATTCTTGATACAGGAAAATGCTACTTGGAACTTTCCAAGGATACTGCTGCTTCAATCCTGTTTTATCCTCAAAGCTAGATTTATACAGGGGTTAGGATCAATGCAAATCGACCTGCACCAATTATACACACGTGTTTAACATTTTTAAAACTTAAAAAACTTCGAAAGATTTCCACACAGTTTAACTCATGCTTTGCCATGCCATACTGTAAATGTACATGTGCGTGTGCTAACATCCATCCAAAACACTGGAAACAATGAGTCAATGACCTGATGACATATACCCAGCTAGAAATGAGACCAAGGGGTACCCCCCAACATGTCCAATCCCTATACACATTCCAGACTATTGTTAC